ACAGTTTTAGTGATGGTCGACGCAGTTTTCCTGATTGGGGCATATGCAGGAATTAGGAGCAGGGATAAATGGTCAGATTGGCCCAGATGTGGTAAGGGTCTTGCCCTGTAGCCCTTCTTGATGTTGGAATAGACTTTATCTAAGGTGTTAGCCCCTCTCGTGGCACACTTCACATGCTGGTGGAAATTAGGGATAGCTGTTTTTAAATCCACCTGATTAAAATCACCCGCTATAATGTGCACTGCGTCAGGGTATTTATTGAGTTTATTGTTGATGTTCGTGTGCAAAAGCGCTAGTGCCACGTTAGTATTTGCATCTGGCGGTATGTAAACAGTTGTTATTACCACAACAGTGAACTCCCGTGGAAGATAGATGGGCCTGCATTTGACAGTCAGATATTCTATGTCCGGAGAACAGTGACGGTCTATGATCACTGTGTTAGTACACCAGCTGTTATTCACGTATATGCAGATTCCCCCTCCTTTTCTCTTACCGGAATTGTTTGTTCTATCCTGGCGCTGTGCGGTGTAGCCTGCTAGCTCAATAGCAGAGTCCGGGATGGACTGATGCAGCCAGGACTCAGTGATCAGAAGAATAGAAACCTCATATCTCTAGCCTAAATGACTATAGACCAGTGGCACTAACCCCGGTGGTGATGAAGTGCTTTGATGTGATTGTCCGTTGTTATTTGTAACCTTAGTTCGTCCATCTTGTTCGCCAAGGATCTGACATTCGAGAGATATAAACTCGGGAGCGGTGGTCTAAAAGGCTTCCTCCTTAGCCTGGTTAGCACGCCAGCCCGGCAGCCTCGCTTCCTCCTTCTCTCTCGTCGCCGTCTGCGTCTCCCTCCCGCCGGAATAGTAATCCAATGAGTGCCCGGTCTCCTCGCTACTTCCTGGGGTGGCAGTCGGCTAAGCAGGGTATTAAGAAGGAGTATCCTTTCTCCCAGTCACACTTTCACAAGTGTCACAATTTCTTGTCTGTCTTCAGAACGCCTGCGGTACAGTGCCAGCATGATATAATGATAATCACCTTTGCCAGTCTCAGCTTTCATTTGTTGTGATTAATTAGCTGACATATATGGCAACACTAATACATCAGCGATAATGTTTGCTAATAATAACAGCTGAAAGGCAGACCTCCAGTGATGTGTGGAATGTGACGTGGTTGTTGGAGGATTGCACTTTTTTTTTCTCCCCCATTTCTTCTATTTTGTGTGTGGCTGAGAATTTCCCTCCAAGATCTGTGACTTTACGCCCCTTGTTTCCTCGTTGTATACTGCTGATCAGCACAGGAAATAGAACACTGAACATTGTATTTCACATCAGCCAGCTCTTAGGGAAGAAATTATTGAGATTGTCAGCTTCAGACCTTATGATTATAATCTCTGTAGATTTCCATACTTTTTGTATAGCTTTTCTAATGCTTACGATTCTACATGTTTATGGAAGTTCGCAACAAGGTCAGCAATGGGGGTTGCATGTAATCAGTAGCAAGTTTCAAGTCCATTTCAAGCAAAGCATTTGCTCTTTTACATTCTGTTTACGAGTTCAGCCTCGTGTAAATGCCTCAGCAGTTCCACCCCCACAATGCTTTAAAGTAGCTTTTGATGTTTTTAATGATAAGTTTGTCAGGTGAAAAATTTCAAACAGTGTTTGAGAGGATTTCAGCTGACTTTGCAACAGTGTTTAAGTTTATAGAGCTTCACAGCAAACTGTATATGTATAAATGGCTTTCTGTCCCACAGTGACATATAACTCATTTGGTTATTTGTGTCATTTGAGGATTTAGCAAATGACTAGATGTGTAAGATCACAACTTAATACATCTAAGACCTGTAAAGCAGACTGACTGTTGAACAGGAAAAAAGTAAAGGGCACAGTGTTGGAGTAATAGTAATAACAAATCTGTATAAACACAGGGTTCCTGCAGCTGACACTGCTTGGGCCTTTAAATAATATCATTACTCAATAAATGCTAGTTAGTTAAAACTGTTATCATCTGTCTGGATAAATATGAGTGAATGAATGAACACGTTTAGCTCTACTTTAACCTGTTCACTGTTTGTCCCTCGTTGGCTTCTTTTATAGACGATCGTAAAGATGGAACAATAGCAGAACTGCAGGAACAGCTGAGAGACGTGATGTTTTATCTGGAGACCCAGCAGCAGATTGAACATCTTCCACCAGAGGCTCGCAGTGAAATTCAAGAGGGACAGATCAACATCCCAGCCAGCCCATCTGACGGCGCTCTGGGTTCGGCAGGAGCAGGCCCTTCCTCTGGCAGGGGCAGAAGAGGCCGAGGCAGGAAGAGGAAGTAGGCATGGCCTAAACTCAACTGGAACATGCTAGAAACTGTGTTGCTGCTTCTCACTGTGGACATGTTTGTGACTGAGCCCAGCCCTTTATTCAATGTGTATCTGCATTATTGTAATTCTCAATAGGGTAAAGGCAGAAAGAAGGAGTAAATGTTGATAATATTTACCTGCACATTTTCCTAGCATAACTCCTAGCTCCTACAAGAAGAGCATAAGAGAGGATCGCTCAGTCACTCAAAACATCAGTGTGATCTAAATGTCCTCTTCTCTTTCCAAAACTTAAAAGTATATATATTGATCACAATTTATATTTATTTGATCAGAAATATTTCATCTGTGCCCAGGTAGTACCATATTATAGTACTTCTTTTCAAACACTGCGTGATCTTTTTATTATCTTAAAATGCAAAGATGGTTCTTTTACAAGTGAGAGAAGAATCAAGGAAATTTATGTCCACATTTTCTGAGTTTTTCCTTCATTTCTTTGGACTCGGCTGTTTCATCTGTTATGTTCCAATGGTTTTTTTGTTTCTCTTTTTGTTCCTCCACTTTAAGTAGAAACACTCGTCAGAGAACATGGAGGAGAAAATGCCTTTTTCAGCAGTGCATTGTATTGGGACAGGAGTCAGTGTTCACAGAATGCACAGTATTTTTGTATGAGGAACAGGAAGCATGTTTTGCCATGTTTTCACCATCTAGGTTAGTGATTCCCAACCACTAGTACAACTTGTGTACCTCAGAGGATTCTACAGCATTACCAGGAAGTAGTTCAAAGGATTGTGTATGTTTGCTAATGATTTATTGAAACTATGTGGATCATGATTTACTGCTCCTTCCATCAATCTGTATTGTCCCAGTATCCCTTATTTTCCAGCTAATTTCCTGGAAATCTTTCTCAGAATTTCTCCCATAATATTCCCAAGACTGTAGTTATTGACTCTAAAACTACAGTCTAATATGATTTTTTTTAATTTACCCTTTAAAACTCTTAATATTACTGGCTGCTATTCTATTATTCCTCCATTTAAAGATGATTTTAAATTACAAATATTGTGCCATTTGATGACATTGACCTTTGGCTCTAAGACATTATGATAAGCATCTGTATTATTATGCCATATAAACATTAAGATTTTCAGAGAAATTATTAAAATAACCAGGGTACATTAGTTGTACCCTGGTTATGTGTTAAATACAATACCATACCAGAAAAACGCCAGAAGCAACTGTGACCTTTGCAGTTACAATCCTGAACATGGTGTCATAACCTAGATGATGAAATAAGTGACTCAGCTCCCTCCTTGAATACTAAGATTTTTTTCCCTTGCAAAATGTTCACAATAAAGTTTTAGATGAATCCCTAAGGCCTTAATTAAAAACTGGTGCAGAAAGCACACATTGATTTTTTTTTTGGATTTTTTTTTTTTATTAAACAGCCACTCAAAAGATCATTCTATGCAAAAGATTCTTTACAGCCCTCTAAAAGGAACATAATAATTTCAGAAATATGAGATTTGCTGTCAGTTATTTGAGATGCTAACTGTGACATTGTCTGACAAGATATTTCACGCATATAGCCAGTGACGGCCAACAGGAACCAAGCTTGCTGGTTACTGTTGTTTGTAGACATGAGTATAGTATCGCTCTCGAAAGTTAAATGAAAAGATGTTTTTTCACAGTGATCATCAAGAGAAAAGCTGGAATGTACCTGTAGCGACTTCTTTGAGAGAGGAGATAAAGAGCTGTTTTTTTCAGCCATAGAAGCTTTCATTTAAAAACAAAATACGGCAAGTCATGCTCCTGAAAACATCAGTTCATGCTGGGGTTTTGTTGTTTGTTTTCTTGCCATGAAAGTGTTCAGTTTTTTGTTGTTAACACTAAAACTGTGCTGCCACTTTCAATAAAACATTTTCTGAAGTTTTTCTTGTTCTGGGGTAAAAAGTGTGTTAAGCTGAAACAGATGCATACTAGGTTGCCGTCAAGTGACGAATGATCTTTGTTGAAATGACATACTACGCAGCTGTGATGTTAAAGTGCAGACTGTCAGATCTACCACAAGGAAGATGCAGTCATATCTAACTAATCCTTCTGCAGTCTACTGCATTCACAGTTTATTACCAGCAGCCTGTTGAAAGTAAACTGTGTACATAGTTGGGAAACACAGACACACTGACAGATTAAAAAGCTTGGTCTTCGTAGACACACCATCTACCTGGTAATTGGCATGCATTTCTCTCTACACTCCAAGACAAGTTTTAGGAACATGTCATTTGTCACACACTATACCTCCCCCCTGATGACATTTCAATCCTGTGCCTGTGTTTAGTAACAACTGTAGTCACAGGCAAATGATACTGCATGCAAACATTTTCCACACCTTTTATTTTTCTATTTATATCCCCAAGTATGGCCTCTGTTTCATCAGCCAGTGGAACTACAAGGGTCAGACATTTCAAGTTATTGATTAATCCTTGAGGAAAAATCATCAAATCAGGAGCAAGCTGGTTAGTTTCCAGCAGCCCTAAATGTCCCCAAATATTTCCCTAAACAACATTTACAATCATATAGAGAGGAAATAAATGCAACGATTATTGGGGTTTTCTCTATGTTATTATAGGGTCTTTACCTTACACCTTGTGGCAGCTGTTGTGATTTGGCGCTATATAAATAAAATTGAATTGACTTGAATGTGTGGTCTAAATTTAAGGAAAACAAGCCTCCTGAAATCTTCCTTACATCAAGTATATGAGATCTTTTGCACCAATATACAAATAAGTCCACCGTGATAAATGCTAATGAGAAACAAAGTCTGTGGGTTCTCGTGAGATGATTGACATTTCCCGTTTCTCATTACTGGCATAGCCAAGAAGAAACCAAAACCACGTCAACAAATTCTGAACGCATTGTTTGTTGACTTGATTACCAGAAGTTAAAAAGATATGTGTGTCACCTAAGATATCATTTTAATCGTGGGAATGAAAGTACTTGGGGTACATTTGAGCTGTTTTCTAACCACGTGTGAAAGCTGATAGCTAACTGTGAAAAAGCCTGAGCTGCAGCTGGACAGAAGAATGCGAGAATAAAAGAGGAAGCCAGAGGAGGAGCCAGCATATGGCCGAGAACAGGATTTAGAGGTAAGATAGTCAGAGGGAAAGGCGCTTCCTGAGTTGAGCTGTTGACTGTATGGACGTTTTCTCTGCTCTCGCCGCTGTGCTGAGCTATGGATTAGTCTTGCACTAAAATTCTTTTTTTTTTTTTTTTAGATGCTTTAGACACGTATAAAGGTAAGTACAAAAAACCTTTTTTTGCCTAACAGCTTTGCAAGCAGAGTGTGCAGCTTGGTGAATCAACTGTTGTGTATGTAAAATACAAAGACAAAGAAAAAGGTTTTAGAAGGATACTAACTTTCTGCGTGAGGCTCATTTGTGTATATTTGCTCAACTTTCCACGGCCAAAACACACGAAACAAGAAAGAACTGCTCACTACAAAGAGATATTTTTGTAAGTCAACTTCATGAGCAATAAAATCTCTGGCATGCCGTATCTTTCAGGTGGAAAAGACTAGAAAGAGATATCAAAGAGCACAGATACAGTCTTTCTACCCTCACGTGCTGTCCTGAATTCTTTTATGCTGAAGTAAAAGAGGCTTGGACACAGGGGTATTATAACTTTTCCGGAAATGACGCTGCCTCTTTGCCAAGATGAACAAGCCAACTCAGATTCCAATCATTGTTCATGTGCTCTGCTCAGTTCTCATTGACATTAATGCTGGCACCAAAAACTTTTAGCAGAAGTTATTTTCTATCCTGTAGTGCGATTGTGTTAATTTATATGTGACACTTGTCTGCTGTCTTGAGCTCTTCTGTAACTCACTTAAAGTTCCTCCTTTCCTATAGCCTGTGCGCTATAATACTGCAGATGGCCTTTGCGCTACAGTTTCTGTGTGTGCAGAATACCCAAAGGAGTACATCAAGTACACCATCAGAGGGTCAACCTGACAGCCTTTGATGACCAAAAACGGTTACAAATGCAAGCTTGTAACCACAGCCTACTTCAGAACCTCAAGCGCACGAGTTTGCAGAACTTATGAAGTTTACGATTCCTGTGAAGGTTGCACTCACTTGTTTGCGTTTTGGTTTGCCATAGAAGGTTCTAGTAGAGGGTTCACTTCACTCTTCGTGGAACAACATTTCCAAAATGAATCTGAATATTGGTTTTGAAGAAAAACAAAACAGCTCTGTGAAAAAACCCCCAAAACAAACCCATAAATAAATGAATAAAATACAAAAAAATCAGCCTAAAATATTAAATAGATTAATTAAATTCAATAAAAATGTAGCATACTAAACCTCAAAAGGAACAGTGATCTTTATCTTCTAACCCTACCGGAAATGCTGGCTACATTTTTAACAGCCACTGAAGCTGCATGTGTCATCCTTCTTTTGTTTTTCTTCACTGTTATATCTGCAGCTATTTCTCACATTTGGTCTCTCTTCCTTGCCATTTTTGCCACCCTGCTGTTCTCAGAATTCATTTCCTCACGTGCAAATTTCATGCAGCTGTGAGTTCCAGTATGCTTCAAAATATAGGAGCAGCTTTAATGTTAGTGTCTTCTGACGTCCACCACTTCAGTATCTAATATCAGTGTGGGGTTAGCGTGGGAGGATCTTACTTAAATTGAGCAAAGATTTTTTTTTTTTTTTAAGAGAAAGGAGGACTGGGTGTATAAGTTGAGCTCTTCTTATTTGGATGCTTAGAAAGTCCTTTCTTTTTCATGAACACTAAAAATAAAGATATACTGTATATATAATTAAAACATGGCAATATTTCAACACTTATGTGTTATTTACAAAAGTTACAATAGATTAGCGAGTGCCAGTAGATTATCTTGCTGTGTCTAAAAATCCACTGCTTCTACTGGTGAGATTAAAAGTGTACTGTATATGTAGCAGCCTAGCTTCCCCCTGTTTCCAGTCATTTCATGCTAAGTTTATGCTAATTGGCTCTTGGGGGGAAAGTTCCAAACCCATATGATACTGGTATCAATTTTGTCATCTATGGCTCATGCAAAACTTATACCAAGGGATACAAAACAACCATAGATATACAGAAAATGACGATAAAGCTAGAATACACTAACTTAGCAAAGAAGAAAATAATGTGTATTTCATCTAGTAAATAAGCTGACATTAATACAGTGCACATTTAGCATTGCTGTTCAATAAATTTTCAGTACACAGTTCTTATTTGACAGGGTAACATAATAGAGCATGGCTGCTTAAAGACAGATATTTCCCCAATAAATGCAAAAGTCTTAATTTCTTTATGAAAATGAGAAATAGAAGCAAACTGAAACTTGCAAACATCCATGGAAATGCAGTATATAAGGAGAAAAAAAGTTGTACAATTCTATTGAGCTTGAAAGTCGAAGTCAGTATTTTAATTGACCACCTTTATGCTTCAACACAGCTTGAATTCTCTTAAGCAAGCCTTCTCGTAATTACTTTAACCTCCTACGACCCGAACTCTTCCACAGCATGCATTTTTAATTTCTCTTTGATATTTGGGCATATTGGGGCCCGATGAATGTAAAAACAAAGAATTACCAGTTTGTTTGTTTTTTACCTTATTTTTATTTTTAAGAAAAATAAGAGCCACATATGAGGATATTCGTTTAAAAGTATTTTGGTCTAAATAACCCAAAATGTGATGTCCACATATGTGGATGCCAGGGAGGTTAAGTAGTCTTTAGGAATGGTTCTCCAGCCTTCTTGAAGGACATTCCAAAGCTCTTTGGGTTTTGGCTGGCTTTGGTTCCATTTTCTGTCAAGATTATCCTGCACTGCTTTAATAATATTAGGACTGCGCTCTTGATCAATCCAAGACTAATACTAATACTAATGGTATTCCAGCTATCAAGGTATACGTTGAATGCAATAGCAGTGTGTCTGAGATCATTATTCAGCTGAAAAACAAAACTGTTGCCAGTCAGATGCTTCCAAGATAGTATTGCATAGTGGATCAAGATCTGATGGTATTTTTCTGCATTTATAATTTCATAAATTGTGACAAGATCCCCAACACACTGGGTGAAATGTAGTCCCAAAATATGTCAGAGCCACCATCAAGTTTTATAGATGCCCGTAGATACTCACTCTTCCACCTCCACGCATACCGACGATATCTACAGAGTCAGTGTTGCCATTAATTTCCAGTTTCCAGTTCTTGTGTAATTTTATTATATCTCAGCCTGTTTTTCCAGTTTCTAAGTGACAGCCACCCTTCCACTGAAAGCATTTCTAATGAGGCTTCAGCGAACAGTAGATGGATCAACTGAAAGGCCAGATGCATCTCTCAGGTCTTGTGTCAGGTCTTTGCTGGAGTTTTTCCTATTTCGTAAGGACATGACTTTCAGATACCATTCATCTGCAATCGGTAGTTTTGAAGGCCTGCCACTTCTTCTTTTGTCCTCTGCTTGTTCCGTTTCCTCAAATTGTTCACGACACACTGCAAACCATGCTAACGTATGCGAGAATATCTGACAGATATAAGTTTTTGGCTGATAAAAATCACCTTGCTGGTGAAAAAAAAAAAAATAGATTTTTTTTTTTTTTTTTTTTTTACATCATCCGTTTCGTTTCCTGTTCCTATGTGACCATGATGAGTAAGATATTATTAACCCTGATTCTTGGGCCAGTCTGGGGAAGCAGAAAGGCAACACTGAAAACAGAAACCCCCTTTTCAGGTAAATAAGAAGACTAAAGCCTTCAAAACCACTATTAAAGGAAACTTTGGAGGAAGTTGATGTCTTGCGTCATAGGGACTGGAATCAAAATTAAGATTAGGGAAAATGAGTTTTCCCCAAAACTGGATTTCTCATTGCTGATTCTATCATATTGAACTGGTGCATAAAAATGTAACATGTTTTTATTTTTTGTTCAAACCACAGAAAATTAGCTGAAATGTTCACATATCCTATACATAAGTTACACATTGCTAAAAAGCAATCAAAGAAAAGATTTATAACATAGCAAAGTTGAATATCTGAAAAATATGTTCCGTTATACACTCAGCACTTGGTTGTGGGCTCCTCTGCTGCAGAGTTTTTACTGGTCATGGTCAGCAAACCATTAGTAGTAGTTTTGGTACCGTGGGCACGTGCTGAGTCCTGTCAGAAAAGTAAAACTGGTTACTCCATACAGCTTTTCAGCAGCACAAAGTGCTCTCAAATCTTCTGGTAGATGGCTGCATTACATTTGGACTTGGTAAAACACAGTGGACCAATCATCAGCAACACCAGCAGATGGATGGTTCCTCAGATTATCACAGACTGTGGAAACTTCACACTAAACTTCAAACATCTTGAATCTGTGCTTTTCCACTCTTCCTCCAGAATCTAAGTTATCCAAAAATGCAAAGTTTACTTTGACCTAAGTAGAAGACTTTGGACTACTGTGAACTTTTTAAGATGCACTGGTGTAGTTTCTTCAAAGTCCTTTATTTCCTCTCTGCAGATGAGTGACCGAGACAGCAGCATCTCTGCCTCTCAAACAGAGGGAGAATTCGAGGGAGAGATGGATGAAGAGCTTGAGGGAGACACGGAGATGGAAGAAGAGAAAAGTGAGAATGGGAGAGGCAGTCCGGCCCCCAGTCTCTCCAACATCTCCTCCACTCTGCGCGCCGTTATACGCATCAAACAGAAGTACCAAGCGATGAAGAAACGGCGTCAAGAGATGGCCCTGGGGGGCCAGTGTCCCCTCACAGGCGCCCCAGGACGAACCAGCCCCAAAATCTTCACCTTTGATGGAATCACCCCCACTGCCTTCTCCTCTCCATCATCCAGCATCCCACAGAGGAAGAAGAGGAGGAAGAAGAAACGGGTGTTGTTTCCCGAAGGAGGGAGACGAAGGGCTGCACCAAAGCAGGACCGCAGCCGAGCCAAATATTGCCTGTATCTGCTCTTTGCCATCGTCTTTCTCCAGGTAAATAAATAACAACACATTTTCCAACAAGTGGTGGAATGCTTCTCTAATGTGCTCCTCTGACCTTTTTCTGGTGCCATTAAGAATTTGATTTACAAAAACATTGAATGAATGAATGAATGAATGAATGAATGAATAGCTTCCATTATTATGACTCATCTCTTGCTAGTCTGCTTCTTTTGTCGCCAGCTACAGTATAAATAGGGAGGGCGGGAAAATTGTGCTATCTTCAGCTCATGTGTATGATTAAATATAGACCTTCTACTTGCTCAGTCATGTCCTAATTCATTCAGACGAGAAATACAACATGCCATGAATCAGTCTAAGGTGTGTTCATCTTTGAGGAACCTTGAGGCACTGTTCAGCAGAGATTGGTTAATCCAGCCGTCACCGAGCTGCTTTATTGTCACGTGTATCTTGCAGCTTTGTTTATGGTTTATTTTGCCATTTCAAATGTAAATATTTAAAACTGGTCCAAGTGTATTTCCTGTTCTAGTTTGCCAAAGTGAGAAGCTGGGCGGAAATCACTCTCAGCTGTTTGCCGTATAACTCCAAGGAGATAATCTGTATATCAGTATATTTATATATTTCTAAAGATATACAGTCATGCCAAAAAGAACATTTTCACAGAACGCCATATAGTCCTGTGAATGTAGTATTTATACAGTAGTATGCTTGCTGAAATTTGGATACTCTATAAAAAACACATATTTGGTGGAGTGAAATTGAGGTTTAAAAACTGTAAGAAATATGGTCCCTTCGAGGACATAGCCACACACCTCACTGTCTAATCACCCTGCATATTTAATACTTTACTTAGTGCAGAAATATTATTATTAACAGTTTAATTTCAAAATTAAATAATTCTGTATACTATTAATTAAATTGGATTTATGACGTTAGCAGTAGACTGGCTGCTACGCAGAACTTTTCTGCTTAAACACTCAAAGTAGAACAACTGTCATTCACACATGCATTCCTATCTAAAGATTCACACTGATGAATACATCAGGAGCAACTTTGGATTCAGTATCCTTGGGCAAGATAATCAATCTAGAACAACTATAGTCTTCTGTTAAGCAGATGATGTGCTTTGCCTCCTGAGCAACAGGCACCCCTACTTTCACTTCGTAACACTTCATAACGCATGCGTCTGTAAACGTGTCAGTTATTTCTTCCCCAACACAGCAGTGAGATTGTGTTTTACCTTTGGCAAAATTTGAATTGCTAATATATGAATTGATCTAGTACAATAAACTGTGTTTATTGTACTAAACCAGGAAATTGGGGGATTTCTTTTGTTTTCAATAAGAAGATGTTTTTTTAAACTGTATATTCTGACATATCTGGAAGTTTAATGATTGAAATTCAACAAGTTTATTAGCATTATATTCTACATTTATTTAAGTACAAAATTGTTCTTCTTTTTAAAACCTTCTGAAGTTTCACTTTATATGTAATACTGTCTATATAAAGGTTCAAGGACTGCAGCTGAGTCTAAAATAATTCTTTGTTTTCAGTGTTCTTGGTCCAAGGAGTGCATCTATTTTTAATGAATCCTCGAAATGCCCCTGCACTCGGCTATATTCTTAATAGCTGTGGTTTGTTTCTTTCAGGTCTACAACGCCATAGAGAACCTGGATGACCACGTTCTTAGATATGACCTGGAGGGATTAGAGAAGACACTGAGGAGGGAAGTGTTTGGGCAGCAGGGAGCTGTGGAGAGCCTGCTGTCCCACCTGAAGGACTACCTGTCTACCTACGTCCACAACAAGCCTCTGGTGGTATCCCTGCACGGCCCGACCGGGGTAGGTAAGAGCCACCTGGGACGCCTACTGGCCGGACATTTCCGCTCCGTGGTGGGTGACACGCTTGTGCTGCAGTACTATGTGCTCCACCACTGCCCCCAGGAGGCGAACGCCCTGCAGTGTGCCAGTGACCTCTCAGCTCAAATCTCGGAGATGGTGGAACGAGCCGAGGAGGAGGAGAAAATTCCGCTCTTCATCTTCGACGAGGCAGAGCACATGCACCACGAGATCCTAGACACGCTGTTGCAGCTCGTGTCCTCCAACCAGTCCAATGAATACCTGAATGCTATTTACCTGTTTCTAAGCAACCTGGGTCATGCACACATCACCAAACATATGCTGCACAACTCTTCGAGTATTTCCATGGCGATGACAGCATCAGGTCGTCATAGCAATCTGGTAAAAGAGCTGACTCCTATTTTACGTAGCATGCTGGAAGAGCTTCACCCGCTTTGGACAGAGGCTGATATCTTACCTCTCAGTCTTTTGGAGAAAGGTCACGTAATGGAGTGCTTCCTGGACGAAATTACTCGAGAGGGATTCTACCCGGATCATGCTAACATAGAGCGGCTTGCGGGGGAGATTGAATACTACCCTGCAGTAGGGGGGCACGAATATTCCCAGACAGGCTGCAAGCAAGTGGTGGCTAAAGTCAACCTGCTGTGACATGCTCTTGTTTGCATTCTTTTAAACATGAAGAAAAGGGATTGAATTTACAATTATGAAACTTGAATGACACGATTCAAAGCCAACGCTTTTAAGAGTGGTTTTGTAAGAATGTAATAAAAAAAAAATTCACACACAAAAAGGTGGGGATATTAAACTTTGTTGGGGGAAACAAGGAATAAATTTGGTGAACACTAAAAATGCGGCAGGCAGTCCCTGAAGGGTGGGTTCACCCAGTCTACATAAATAAAAGATGATTTAAGTTCCCTGTTGTTGTATCTCCCAAATACCTCTGAATAGCTGCATAGAAACAGGAGAACACCTAGACATCAGTACAGTGCTGGTTCACAGAGGAAATTTCAGTAACTCCAGGGACAGTTCACCTAGCACTACCAGTAAGTAAAATGTAACTGTCTAATTAAACCAATCCAAACACTTAATGAACTGGCACAAAGGTATGTTCAGACATTCAGACACTGCTATGAGTTTCTGGTTTGACCACCTTGACATTTGGAGCAGACACAAAAGAATCTGGGAGGATAAATCCCACTGACTGTTCTTCTGTATACATAAATCAGGCCTGGGCTGTGGTCGAAACCCTCAGTTATTGGACTGTGCTTTAAATCAGGCTCTAGGTGCTGTCCCTTGCCTACAGATTGAGTATCAGTCAGTGTCTGTTACACTCATGGTGAATTTTTTTTAATTGATTTTTAAATGTGGGGCATTATATATATCTATCTATCTAGTCATGAATGCTAATAAAGAAAAACAAGTGAAGGATATACACCTTACTAATGGTCTTTTGTGGTATTGAGAAATCTCCTGGATAAGGATGACAGGAGGACATGCACTGGAGCTGTGTAAAATTAATATTCACTCATTTATGAAGGAAGAAGTTCATAATGCAAAAGTTACTAATACCTATTACAGGATGTTCACAGGATGTGTGACAGATGATGCAAGACAGCGCAAGAGCACATGGTAGCAAAGTGTCTTTGAAGGCAATCAATATATTTGAAGTCTGGTCTCTGGTAGGGTCATCCAAACAAAGACAGCACAGATGGGCATCACCATATATGTTAAATTGGACCCATTATATTTTTCCTTATTTTCTTTTATATATTAATATTTTATTTATTTTCATTATTTCATTATTTTTATTTTACTTATACTATATATAAATTCCCTATATATAATACACACCCAGTTACATTGGAGGATGATCATACTAAATGTATTTGCATAAAATGACATCAATGTAGTGCTCTAAATGCTCTTTCTGTTTTTTTCCTGCTCTTCTTGCTTCTGATGTTAATTAGAATTGGTATGGGAAGACAACTTTGAATGGGAAGGAGCTAAAAACCTCTTGTTCCAGACAGTGGAAGAATTGAGGGGCTCCACCAAAGCCCAGCACAAGTAAACCGTGAATCATGTAAAGGTACTTTATCAAAGTACAAGAACTTGCTAGTACCTGGGTGGAAATGACCATATTGTTTAAGGTATCTTTCAGTCCAATTGATATCAACTTTATGTGCAGAATTCACCACTTTAAACACCAACACTATTCTTCTTGATGCAAGTGCAACTTTAAAAGAATATTTTTATACTTTAAGAAATCTGTTTTCTTCTCAACAGACATGGCACGACGGATAGCGCATAACATTTGTCATGAAGCTAGTGGCACAAACTAGCTAGCTCAGTTTAGCAATAAGGTGGCTACAGATTAACAACTAGCTTAACAGCCCCATGTAAAGATAATTGCTTTAAATTATAAGGAACAATAAGCTATCACGTATAATTACATAAAATAGATTTTGTTATTAACAGTCATGTCATGTGTGGTAATGGTAGTAAGGGTACATGTATTTTGGCCTGACAACTGTTACAAGCTTCTCTATTTGTGTATGTAATGGCAAAGAAAATGACTCCTACATTTCAGTTAGATCCAATCTTCACTTGTTATTTAGATCTTTAAAATCCCAAGATAGTAAAAGTCATGCTCAGCTCAGCTACAGCTACAGAAGCCTGGGCACCACTGCACTGTAAGAGCAATATAATACTAAATACTGAAGGCATTAATTGAGACAAAGAATTCAATTCATTAATAGGTGCTGTTTTCCCTTTTTTTTTTTTTATTATTAGAGTTCTCTTAGTTTACACTGGAAAAAATGAGGTACTGTGTCTATGTGACAAAGAAAAGAAAGTCTCATAATAATAATAATAATAATGACAACATAAGATGAACAAGAAACACATTCTGATACAGGATTTCCAACCAAAGTAACAGGACAGACATCTGGGGACACAACACTCCTCAAGTGTTTCAACTGGAATTACTTGGAGGACAAGCACCTGTACTTTAATATACAGAGCTTAAGAGTGGAGATAGTTTTGAAGACACGATCACTGACAGCAACGAGTGAGGTCCCCGAGCAACATGAGGAAACAGCTGGCAGTCAAGTTAAGATAACTGGTGCCTCTGAGATACAGAAGCAAAATAACCTCACTTTCATTGTGACCGTTGAGCTGAGACAGATAGATGAAAACAACACTGTAGAAATGTAAAAAAACAAACAAACCCAAAGAGCTACCAGAAGATTCCATTATGTTGATTTCACCTACCAAAAACAGAAGTCACAAAGGGCTAAAAGAGCATTTTGAGACATGTGCAAGAATAGATCTAACATCTTTCATGTCGTCATTCCAGAAATTGGTCTTTAACTTCATCCACCACTACTTCAATATTTAATGATATGTGTTGTATGCAAACAATGACATGGATTAAATAGTCCTTGGATTGCAGCAAAAAAAGCCAAAACCGTTCAAATGGATACAAAAATAAAGAGACGACAGACACTCTGCACCTTTTTTAACCAAGCAAATAAGCTTTAAGCTCTGCATCCAACCCTTCATTTGACATGCTTTTAGGAATGCAGTAATAACTCAGTACTGAAGCTTTAAATGAGCTACACATGTACACCAACAACTACTTCATTCAAGACCTACAGGGAAATAAATAGTTATTTCAAACGCCATAAAAACAATTCTCCACAACTATGCACCGCCAGTTTCAGGATCAGCCTCACAACTTTTTAAGCATAATGCTAAGACTTGACTATTACTGTCAGAAATGCTCATCAGAAGTATGAACAAGGGAGGGGTGTGTGAGGGAGAGTCCAGAGACAAGAGAAGGAGACAAGTTATCGTGATAGGAGGGTGCCGAAAACTAAGTGCTGAAGTGGGCTTCTTCTTCTTTATTTGTAGGTTTCGTGTTTACGCTTCAACCTCGAAGCCCATGCCGACTTTGTGTCCGCCGGCGTTGAAGTTCTTGCCATCAATGAGAGCTGAGAGGGTGACCTTAACACCTGCACAGACACAGTCATAACGTTGTAGATACACTTTCAATTTTAGACCTGTTCAAAAAAGTTGACATGTGGGCACGAGTATCAGTGCGTCTATCCTATCCTAACTATCCTGTATAAGTGTGTGGTGTAAATTTGAAAGCACATGGTTTGCCCCTTCTTGCTTGATCAAGATCTTAACTCCTGAATTTCTTAGTCAAGGTTGCCCTCACAAGCTTCAAATTTTCGATCGACTGAAACGGGTTAAAATAAAAACATTTTGTACAACCAAACAAGTTGTTATGCTGTGTAACATGTAAATAAAACAAAGTGCAATGACTTGCAAACATCATAAACTCATATTTTATTCACACTAGAACATTAAAAAAACACAAACATTTCAAATGTTTACATTTTACTATTTCATGAAAACTATTAGCTTTTAATTTGGTGGCAGCCATACATTTCAAAATAGCTGGGACAAGGGCAAAAGGTCAATAACATGAGTATGGGGGTATGGGTATAAAGAGAGCATTTCAGAGAGCTAGAGTTTCTAAGAAGTAAAGACAGGGAGATATTTGAGTCTGCGGGGGAAAAAAAGTCGATATTCAGAATATTTTTAGAATAATGTACTTTAATTTTATTTAAGATGTAATATATAATTGTGAAGACTTTGAATATCTCAGGATCTAAAATGCACCATTAATAGGGAAAGTTCTATGGTTTTAGTAAACAGACAAGATCTTTTACAGGGAAGAGCGTTCATGGTTCAGACAGTGCTAAACTCCATACTGTATATGTTACAGGAGCATGTCTTCATATTTGAAGATTCTAGCTGCTTAACTGGCCTGTCTGCAGTCTAGACCTTAAACCATAGGTGTCAAACTCTGGCCTGTGGTCCAAATTTGGCCCGCAGCCTAATTACATTTGGCCCGCGAAGCCATACCAAATTACTATTAGAGCTGGCCTACTGGTATTATACAGCTAATATATATATTGTTTAGTATTAAGCTTTGCTTGTTCCATATTCAGTTTTTCAGCAAAACTTGTTTGAGTCCATAAGAAAAGATTCATTCTTATATCTGGAGGAAGATTTTTTTTTCAATAAATATTAATGTTAGCCCGCGACTTTGTTCCAGTTTAGAATTTTGGCCCACTGTGTATTTGAGTTTGACATCCCGCCTTAAACCAACTAAAAATATTTGGTGCATCACAAACTGTTGTTTGCTTAGAATCATATATGCAACAAGAATATGAAAACATTCCCCTCGCAAATGTCCAGCAACTGGTTTCCTCATTATCTAGACATTAACGTACTACTGTGTTACTGCCATCAAATTCATTATGACCTATTTTTTTTTCTTAGAATTTTTATACTAAACTTAGTTTAAACAAGTGATTTTTTTTTTACTTTCTATTCTGAATAAAAATTCAGTTTGTGAGATTTGCAAGTCATGGTTTTACATATTATATACCATTTTATTGTATGGTCTTTACCTTACAATATAAAGCGCCTTGAGGCAACTGCTGTTGTAAATGGTGCAACATAAATAAAATTGAATTTAATTGAAAAATATCAGTTTTTTTGGAAACGGGGTTGTATTTTTAAACAACCAAGATCTTCCTGTGTAGGTTGGGAAAGTATTTTGCTGGGTGCCAATGGCACAGTTGAGGAAGGTAACTCACCTGGTCGAAGGCTCTGGGTGTAGCCTATTCCAATCAGACTGGCATTGTTCACTTTGGCCTGTAGGGGAAACATGACAGGGCGTCAGACACAACAGCACAACGGTTTGTGAGAATATGCTTCAGCAACAGTGCATGTGAATGTGAAGAGTCAGTCCTCACAGACAGAGAGGCATCTTTGTCCAGCTTGTATTTGGCAGCAATGCCGAAACGAGTGTTGTTGCTGCCAGCTGTCCAGGCCAGAGTAACCGCTGTCTCCAACTCGTCATTTACCTTTTGGTAGATGGAGCCGCCAAACTCAGTCCCGTCATTACTGAGAGAGAACAGACATTTATTTACTTAAGCAAACAGAAGTCTATCCTGCAGACCAGTCTCCAAATTATAAATTCATCCCTCTTTGTATTCAACTTATGACAACCCATAATGAAATTAGTAACTGATGCCCAAAAATGTGTTTTAGGTCACTGGGACAATTTGCCACTAAATTCAAATCAGTTCCAAGTGAACATTTCCATGAGAAAAGTCTGGTTCGAGATGGGAGGAGACACAAATCCTGTGGGGTAGTTGCTCTTGGGGTAGAAGGGTAGAGGGGTAGAAGCAAATCAAGTCCAATATGAGGATATTCTGTCTGTGGGTTTGAACAACCTTTAAAAAAAATGCTTCCACCCAGCAGGTTTTTGTGCAGAGCTTTGACTACAGCAACAGAAGTTAGATATGTGATGCCCATGATTTGAAAAGCAACAAAGCATCTTCACAAACTGTTTATGTACGTATGTAAAATCACTCACACATTGGTGTGAAGCTGGAAGTCCCCGGCCCTGTATCCGAGTGCAAAGTTGTTCTGAGCCAGTTTGGATTTGGCCGTATCAAAGGCCATCTGATAGCCTGCCAGCCAGCCTTCATAGCCCAACACAGCAGAAGCGTGGATGATGGGACCCTCAAAGTCAACATCGCAGCCAATATTCATATAGTCACGCTTGTAGCCAGTCTTGAGCTTGCCACTCTTCTTGCTGAAAAGTTGGTTAATCACAGTGATGAGCCATTAAAATACCAAAACCAATGACAACAATAAATTCCAACTTATCTGGAAACAATATGATGTATTGAATTCCCAGATCACACAGCTCCATGCTGTTAAAAAACTATTTAAACCACATGAATGAGCCACACTTTTGCATAAGCTGACATGTTCTGTTATTACTGTAAACACAACTCTAATTAGATTCTGACACAGACAGAGTAGGAAAGTCAAAAATATATTAGTAGAGAGGGAATGCTTTGATAAGGGCATGCCAAGAGAAACAGAGTGGCCAATAAGTTAAAGGAAATATAAGACACTGAGAAATCAGCTTATTCTTTGAGACTCTGTAGCGGTACATTACTATACATCAACGTGGATACAATAAGTAAGAATAACAACATTAATTATTAGAGGCATTGAAGTACGCAGAAGAACTTTCAAATTTGAATATATTCGAGGTGTAGTTGTTAGATGTTACTAATAATTATAGGAACCTCTATGTGTGTCCATCTTTTGTCAGCACACAATAACATGTAAAGAGTGAGGTCAGCTGGATGAAAACTTCTCTTATCTGTTGATCTATCAGATTTGGAAAATATTAGTAAACTAAGTGTACAGCTTTTACTATATCGGTAGTTAAAGGTTTAAAAAGGAGGACTGAATTTGAGGATAAAAGAAGTTTAAAGCATGCAGCTAATTATTAACAAGGCAAGAGTGGAAAAAAGAGTCAGCACTCTGTTTATCCAGGATTGACCCAAAGTTAATACTGATTACATAACACAGTATAAGTCACACAAACCAATAAATGGAGTCTCACCCTGTGTTTGGTACAAAAGATGTATCCAAGCCAACTTTCAGTCCTTGAGCCAGCTATAGGTAAAGTAAAACTTGGAGTCAATAGTTTGTTTTAGGAACATTTAAACAATTAAATCAGTTTCTTAACCACAAACACACACCTGGTCCTCCACAGTGACTTCAGTACCCAGGGTGTTATCTGTGTTCCACTTCTGGTTGACGCTCAGGCCTAGCTCCTTCATCTTGTACTTGGTCTCCAGGCTCCCTGAGGCCTTCCCTGTATCTGTGTTACTGGAGCCAGATGTGTTGAACTCCTGGTGAAGGACCAATCAGCACAAAGCATGAGTGTGGAACGCAGGGTATTGTTGCGCAGATTGTTGAATTGTTGGATATCAAAATGGAAAAAGGAACTGAGACCAAATATAATTAGTCATGTCAAAAATACAGTGATAATCATCAGCATGTACTCTACATATTAAACAATACAGATACACTGACATAATAAGACAGTCTCACAGATGAATGCATGCAAGACACTAATGAGGCAGAAGACAAACAAAGTGAACACAAAAACAATGATAAACATGATGATTACAACAAAGTGATTATCAAAACTGCCACTGACAATAAGCACTAGAACACTTTTTCTAAACAAGAGTGCATGCTTAAAAACAAAGGAAAAAAGAGAACCTTGAAAAATATATGTAAGAATGCAATGTAATTCTCAGACAGTGGCTGTTGTCCTGACTTGCATTTATTAAAATAAGATTAGACTGCTTTTATGCATAGTGAAATGAGTAAGAACAGTGCCAAGTCATTAGAAAACACAAATCCACCTCCCAATGTTAATAAGACATTTTTCTGTACTGGCATATCAACATCAGTCCTACCAGCAGAAATGTATTCTAGTTCCGATCACACCCATTCAAGTCAACAATGAAGATTCCACCAAATTCAACGCAGCATGGTTCAGAATTGGCTTTTAGCCTTGTGTCACTAAAATCACAATATTGTCAAAAATGTTACCGGATGCCAAGATGATTTTAGATCCCTCTAAATGTTACCGGATGTGTATAGAATAGAGATATATATACAGCTACCACACATGAATGCTGTAGCAAATGTAAACAATATTAAATGGACTGGATCTTATACAACATGCCTCTTTAACCTATATTCATACAGGCACTTTTTTCTATACCTAAGTGCTTTCTGTGTAACATTAATCCAATTCTTTCATGTGATGGATGAGTCAAAAACCAATTTGGGATTCAGTACTTTGCCCAATGATACTTTGGCAGACTGGAGAAGGCAGGGATTGAACCACCAATAAAAAAAAAAGTACTTTATAACAGAAGGTAAGGTCAGCTAATTAATCCATATCCTGAGCCTGAATTTAGTTGGCACTTTTCAATGTATTTTATAAGCTAACCCTCTCAGCTAACGATCACAGATTTATACAGCACAGCCCAATTACAGCTAGCTAGCTAACGGTATCTAGCTTGCCAACATCATTGCCAGTAAAATAATATCTGAAAGGTAATACGAGTTAGATAGTGTTCCAAATTACTTAAGGTAGCATTGTACAGAAATCTGTAATCTGTTAAAAAGTAATGCAACATGTGGCATTGTTTTTGTTTTGTTTTTTATTTCAAATTTTATTTTCAAAGCAAATTATATTTGATTTAAATTACAATCAGGGCTTTTCTCTAAATAAATTCTTTATTACAAAGTACATTTAAAGTGGTGCCCTGCTGATGATTTTTGTATCGACAAGTCTTTCAGTGTGTGCTAACGATAACTAATTTCATTTTACATGTCAAAGCAGAAAAAAAACCTGAGGTAATGATCAGATAAGTCATCACCACACACTATGTATGCGTCGCAAAACAACATATGTATATGAATCAACAACATATCTCCGTGTGAAAATCTGTCAACGAACTGAGACAACGGCAGCACAGTTTCTGTGATTGTACTTCTGTGAGTCCAAAGAGATGGTCCTTTAGCAAATCTCAATTCAGACACAAATATAAGAAAAGTCAATGCAGCTGTATTAGAGACTGACTAATACATGCATCATGTTGTGAAAAAGGCCTTCATGGCACATGATGTCCAATAGGGCTGTGCGATATGACCAAAATCTCATATCCCGATATAAGAATTCTATTGTCGATAACGATATAAATCACAAAAATGTAACATTTTCTGTAAATTCTGTGAATCTCGGGCAGCTCGACTTGCTTGAAGTGTTTCCAGCTGGGCGTCGTGTAGCTGGAGTTGTAACAGTGACCATCAAAATGATGAAAAAATATTGCCGTAAACAGTTTATTTTGCAACACCACGAAACAAACGATAGCGTAAAATGAAACGATAGATGTTTTTATATCATCATCCGATATATATCGTTAAGTTAAAGTTAAACTGTTCTAAAAGCTTAGTTACCATTACTGAAGCTACCAAACAAACACAGACGCTGCTTCCATCTTTAACACACTCAGGTGACATTTTATGGCATTTAAGAAAGATTGTGTGACTAAGGACCTCATCAATTACCTGGTAACTGACCAGGAACAGCCCTAGTCATTTCCCTGGGTAACTGCAAACTGATCAGTGTTAAGTCATTCGATTCATCCTATAATACAGAACACGACAATCAAAGTTACTGAGCTATTTTGCTCTAGAGTAAAGGGGTCTGTTGACAGAATAATGAAACAATGCCATTCAGATTTTTTTTAAATAGCTATAAAAGTGTAGTGCAGCCCTGCCAGCCAATGCATCTTTTTGCTTTCTTCCCGTTTTTAAATTCCTCCAAGTCTCTTCTTTTCCTTATTTTCTCTCATACATATCTTATTACAATGATGGCTGTTTGGGGTGGCTGTGACTCAGGAGGTAAAGGAAGATCGGTGCCTCGATTCCCCGCCAATTTATTCTCAATTTATTGGGAAATATACTTAACACCGAGTTGCCTCTGATGCATCCGCTGAAGTGGGAGTGTATGCGCAAATGTTAGACAAAGGGCTTGGATACAGAAAAAAGTGTGTGTGTGTGAGATTGTGTGAATGACGCTTGAGTAAAAAGACATTTACCACTGAACATGTTCAAAGTTTCAAATAATGAGGACTGGTTGTTTACAACTACCCTGACTGCTCTAAACAGTCGTTTTCAGAAGTTTTTTTTTTTAACTCTTGGCTAAGCATGATGTCAGCAGGGAAATATCCCTCACATGGTATTCTCAGGCACACAGCACTAGTGATGAGCACCGAAGCCCCACCCACCCACTGTTCAAACCTTTTCTGTTCAAAATGTAACCAATCAGTGGCTAAAAAAGAAGAGAAGCTAAAATGTCTCGTTTCCACCAGTGAAATAAAGACCAAGTAAAACATAAATACAGGACTATTTTGAGCAGTAAAGGTAGCACAAAAAATTTAAATATTGAGCCTGAAATTAATATAATAGCTTAATAATATTCTTCTCCATTTTCTGGCATTTTATCAATCATACAACAGGTATAATAATGCAAAAATAATGTAAAGGAGTACAACCCAAAGTAAAGACAATCTCCATAAAGAAATGGAAATAGTATAAATGAGTGTGAAGAGAGAGAAAATCATTTTTTCATGCTTTATGAATATTATAAAGACAAAAAAACAACTTAACCACAATAACAACTGAAAAAATGACTTGTAATTGAACAAAGGTTTAGGTAAGTTAACAGAACAGAAATCCATGGAAACTTGTTCTGAGTTACACAGACAGACAGAGCAGTCAGCTCTGACACCGATCTTACCATCTACATTAGAGAGCGAGCAGTCCAGGGCAGCAGCGTGGAGACAGAGCAGGGGTTAGGAAAGGTGACCAGAGAGACAGACAAGCCACAAATGCACACCTGCAGGCCTGTCATGTTTCTCAAGAACAGAGAGCACATTAAGCCAAGCAGGTCGACATTCGTCCACCTGAGATGTTTTTACACATGAACTCAACAGACGTGTTCTCACTAATGGAAATAACTCTGTTTGGTTAAGGTGAGGGTCACCTGAAGGAAGCAGCACAGACAGTATATGACATTCAGTCACTTGCTATGAATTCTCTAAACAATCACCTATCAAATTGCCACACAGAGATTTAATGTCCAGTCTGTCTGGACTTCTGCCTTCGTGCAGGCAGCACAATGTCTAAAGAGTTCAGAGGTATAGTTTATGTGTGAAAACAGCTTTAAATCCCTTTCAGCTCCGAGTCACAGCAGGAGTCCAGTTACTGTAATTAAATAAGGCATTGAGCATGAGAGGGTACCTGTGCAGCAGGATTTGGAGGTTAGAGATTAGCATGAAAAGGCAAAGGAAAGGTGAAGAATAAAGAAAGAACATGAAAAGAAAAAAGTGTTCTCACCACTCCGCTTTGTGATTTGGTCTTGAGGTCCAGCTTCACAACACCAAAGCCTGATTGATTACAAAATATGAGTTAATAGTTATTATGTGCAAGACAAATCAGAGACAGGAAGGTTTAAAAAGGCATAATTTAACATTTTCAGATAGATTTCCTCCACAAAGGTGGTTTATTAATTGTAAAGACTAAGCCACGTTGTGGTCAGACTAGCTGTAACATCATTTTAAAATGTTAAACGAGCAACAGACGAGCTTGTAAACCTTCCTTCACGGTTTCCTACACAGACTTTACTTGGACAGGCTGCCCAGGTATGCTGGCGGGCACCCAATTTATTTACTAAAAGACAAGTTGATTTCTTTTGTTTTTTAAAATTCAATCACTGCTTACCAGTTACATCTGCTCATTCTCAAGTGCTTCACCACATTTGAGGTGCTGCTCTGACAGTTTTCCATTTCATTCAGCTTCCTTTAGAGACTCTTGTCTGTTGTTAGATTTATACAATTTATATACTCCATGAATTCATACATAAATTATATATTTTTTGTACATACTGGTATCTCCTTCAAAAAACAAATATGTACCTTATATGTACAAAACTGTAATTTCAGCGTTCAAAAAATGAGTATCTAATGTCTGAAATTATATCCAGACTTTTAGTTTTGTTCACATCAGTGTATTTATTAAATGTGTAGTGTGGATAAGAAGCACACAGAATAAGTTGTACTTTAGGAATTCCCCACAGTTAATAATTTACTCCTAAGCTTAAAACAGTGCTCACCATATCCCTTGCTGAATATATCTTTGGCGGCCTTGCCCAGGTCTGAGTATGCTGGAGGGACAGCCATTGTGCTGGAGAAGATAAAGGCAGATGTTTCTTTTGTCAAATTTGAAACTTCACAATATCTTTATTCTACACAAGTGTTTAAAGGCTTAAGCAGTAAAAACTCATCTTTAGAAACAGGGTATGACCATCCATGTTGTTCATCAATTGGTTATACTGCTCAGTTAAGTGCTCATACTGAATGAGCACTTAACAAAAGTTAAAGTCTCAGTGGTTTTTGTATATAGTCACAGGTTACTTCACTAGATATACATATTCAGCTGATTAGATATTTAACAAAAATATCTAATCAGCCAATAACAAGGCCACTGCATTAAGGCATGGGTATAAAGATGGTCATGACCTGCTAAAGTTTAAACTGAGAACAGAGAATGTTTGCAGAGCATGTCTGAAACAGAGAAACTATCCAGTGAGCAGCAGTTCTCCATGAAAATGCCTTGATGCAAGAAGTCAGAGCACAATGGTCAGACTGCTTAAAGCTGACAGGAATGCAACAGTAACTCAAATAATCACTCATCACAACTAAGGTATGCAGAAGAGCATCTGTGAATTCACAACATGTTGAACCATGAAGCACATGAGTTGCAGCAGCAGAAGACCGCCTGTCAGCCAAGAACTGGAAACAGGTTCCATCAAGATCACAAGCCACTCTCAAACTGGGTTCTTGAACATGATAATGATTTTCATTGTACTTCATTCTTCACTGTCTCTACAGTCACCAGAACTTTTTTGAAAGTTGCTGACGTTTGAGATTTTTTGCTGAAGTCCCCATTTTGTTAGGATGGACTCCCGTGTACCTACTGAATGCAATAACTGCCTGTACCTGATTAAACAGTCGGGTTACCTATTGACATCCAGCAGAAGGGAACAAGCTGTTCTTTGATAGACTCCTTTTAAGCAAACAACAGTATTCAGGCAGAAACTGGTGTACTTTGGTTAAGCAAGAAGAGCCACCAAGCAATGCACTGAGTCAGGAAGGTCCAAAAAACCTCAAGCAGAAAACTGTTTCAATGCCCAATCCATTAGGTTCAACTCTATGCTGTTCTGTGTTTACTACACCACCAGTCAGCGGTTACGACCTGGAGAGCTACAGTGGTTTCACATGGGATTCACAAGCTGCACAAACACCTGGGTCAACTGCTCTGTTCTGTATCTCTTTTTCCTCGTGATCTCAAGAGCTTTGACAGACAATATAAGAATGAACCATAACCTGTACATGAACATCTACAGCGCAATACAGGACCAAATAACAAAGCTAAGCTGTGTTTTACACAGTGTCAACCTAACAGAAGCTACGCCAATGTTAAAACCACAACTAACATGTCCACTTGGATTCAAACCAGTTTCCACGAAACATAAGAATTTAAACAGTTGCCACAGTGAACATGAATCAAGTTCTGCTGCATTTTGGTTGTTGTGAGATGCATGCCATTGATGATGATGACTTTTACAAGGTGTTAAAGTGAGTAAACCTTTGATAATTAGTATGCAGGGTGCAAACACCAAAGTGGCAGCAGTTTGTAGGTAATTCCCTCTAGCTACTGTACGCCAAGAGCTCTTTCTTGCGTATTTGTAATGGTCTTCTACTAAAGCATATACTGTGGTAAAGCGAGTTGACTTTAGTTCTGACAGCAGTACTGTAATTATCAGGCTCTGGCTCTCTCTTACTCTCATTATATTTGATGAAACATCTGCTGTTATTACTGCACTTATGGTAACCTACCCTACCTACCTACTATGTTGTTATTATATTATATTATATTATATTATATTATATTATATTATAGGAAACCACTGCACACACGTTTGGGTGTGTGTGTGTGACAAGATATGCACTCACAGTAAGAGCAAGGAAATGAGAAACTAGCGCTACTGTACTGATGACTGATGTAACTCTAAATAGACTCACACGGAGCTCTAAACGAAACATGTGCAAAATAATTTGGTAAATAAGATAAAGCCACATTTCCATATATTTGTACACGCGCGCTAACTCATGAACCGGCTACGATTGCTGCATGAAGAACAAAAAACTCAATGTGGGATAGCATACAAAAGGGGGGCTCCGTGTTTCTTTCTCTACTGAATATACTGCCGTTATAATCGGACTATTACCTTATGTGTACAAGCAGCTGGTATAGATAAGTTCCCAAGTGACCAATGCTAAACAACAGCTCGTTCTGCTCATCGCAAACGTTCAGTGCTGCATCTCTTAGTTGGGACAAAGGATAGCAGATGGCCGGGAGGAAGGCGTGTAGGGGGTTTGACAGTCAGTTAGCTGGTTGCTGTCTAAGTTGCACTGACACACTAACAAGCAAAAAATATGATAGTTGCGAGCATATTAGTGACACCCTACTCCTTTCCCAAGCACACACACGCACGCACACTTTTATATCCAGCTAAACAGAAACCCCACTGGTACGGTTGCTAAATCCGTGCCTAGCTTGACCGTTCTGTGTCGCTGCAATGGAGCTCTAGAAACCAATGAACCAAAGGATTTAACTGTGCACTGCAAAGCTAAACATCATTACATAACAGATACCGTTAGCTATACCGTTACAACATGCTAGCTGGACATCTAACCTTGGAGATAAACGCACAATTCTCAAAGAAGCAACAGCACATATAAATAACTACGCAGGGGTTATAAAGATCAGCGATGTGTTTAACATTTATCAGCACTGTTACCGATGCAGCAAAGGTATTTGCAAAAGGAGTCTGCACAGCCCGGAGCGTCCCTGGCGTGATGCGGTGGAGTGAATTGACAGCTAACCTAGCTTGGAAATGCTTATAACGGGGACAGGGCACAATGAAGGAGATCTATCATGGCGCATGCGCGCTATCGACTAGAAGCGAACAAAGAGGTATTATAAGAGCAAGAGATATATCTGAGACACTGTTAATGTGAGGCAATAAACGTTTATTAGAACACAGAGGCGGACAACAACGTGCCTTATTCGTGGACGCTTAGTCTTTGGACATTAATGCAGCTTTCAGACTGTCAGTCACATTTACTGTATCTTACTGTAGATAGATAGATACACTGTGTGTCCAGGAGACGTGGCAGAAAGGAAGCAAGTTCTTCCCTTCCACCTGGGAAGAGAAATGGAGCAGAGGTAGTTTTGAAGGAAGAGAAGGCATGAGGCATGAGTTTGAAGCTGGAAATCAAAGGGGTGATGTAAAATGTTGTCAATCCATATATCCCAGAGGTTGGAAGACAAAGAAGAGAAAGAGGAATTTAGTAAGTTAGACGAAATGGTAGAGAGTATCCCAAGGATAGATAGGTTGGTGAACAGACTTGGATGGAATGGAAATGTATGTGAACGGAAGACATGTGATGAGGATGGGTTGGGTAGGGGTGGTGTTAAAGAGAGAAATGCAGGACAGATGGTAGTGGATTTTGGAAAAAGGATGAAAATAGCTGTGGTGAACACAAAGTTAAAAAATAGGAGGGAACATAGGGTGAGGTATAAGAGTGGAGGAATGACTGATCATTTCTTCCTGACTGGCAGCTCCATCTTCAACATCCTGTTGTTAAGTATGGAAGACAATGAATGTGGAAACATCAGTCGTCATACAGTTTTTGTGCTTTTGGACATATATTCTGGTCATTTACTTTTATGTGCTGTTATCTGAAATAAAACTGAATTAGTCTGATATATCAGCTTGTAAAGAGATTGTGAGGAAAGAACCCCTGTGAGTTTTGGTGTTGAAGAAATGCCAGTTGAAATTGAACTCATGTAATACCACTTTTTAATGGATTTTAAATGCTATTTCTATAGAACCCTTGTGCTTAAACTGAGCACTCAAAGCACATTTTCCTATAAGCCTCAGTCACCCAAGCAGACATCAGACATTCATTCAAGGATTTTTCTCTATACCTAAGCACTTTGTCTAATCTTCATGCACATTCCGATAGATGGCAACTTGGGATTTAGTGGTTTCCTTAAGGACACTTCGACATATAGACAGGAGTAGCCGGGGAACTGATCCATCAACCTTCAGTTTGATAGATGACCCATTCTACTGGTATAGTGAGTCAATGCAACTTTTATTTAACCACTCAAAAGAACATTTGTCTATTTCTGGGACCAGCACTCCAATACTGGAAGTCTGGATCCGCTCTCTAACTAATCCTAATCTCTGATCCTATGAGTATTACCCAGTCGGCAATACAGAGCTTAAATGGGGCAGATGGTTGAGGGGACTCGCCCAGTTCTAATTGCCTCAAAAGTCATCCAGGTGTCTACCCTGCCTCCACAGATAAAATCCAGACTCTGAGTAGTTTTACATGCCCGGTCAGTATCTTACCAGTCACACCAATTCCGACAACTGCCCTGTAGATTAGTGCACTTGGTAACAAACTGTGTTAAATATAACAGGTTGGAAAACTAAGCCCCAAGGGTCAGTTACTTTTAAAGGGCTGGAGTAACCTGTACGAGTTATTTATACTAATGCAGATTAATACTCAGGTTTTAACCTTTACTGTTTCACAAAGGGTTAAAAAGGGAATGTCCACTCCTTAGATTTTTTTTATTAGAACAATTTATCAAGAACAAAGCAAAGGGGGAATCAAATCATCTGAATTATACTTATCTAATGAACCTACTCTGAGCTAATGCTAACTTTTGTCTGATCTTTGTGAGGAGAAAAGTTGGAGAGAACAGGCACATCCAGATCTGAAGTTGTGCTTATCTCTGTGAAGTCCTCTTGATTCTATAATATAACATGGCAAAAATGAGCAGAGGAAAAGGCAAAAAATACAAGACCGATTTGCAGGTTAATAGTTTGGGCAGCTGTTAAATCCTCTGGCATCTCTGCAGCACTTTTCGGCCGTGAACATCTTACAAAGGGCAGAAATCTTTATCTCATCTGCACAAGATTTTTATACCCGGTCATCCCTTCTCTTTCTGGACATCACATTTTCTGAGATGACATCTGGCCTCACCCACTCTGACATCCATAGACTGTTGTTGACTACTAATCACCCGGTGTCCAGTCACACCTTATCATCCTCTCTCTGACTTTTCCACATGCATGATTTAAAGCAAAGTTTAAACTTTAAAATCACTTAATTACATTTTCTTCTTTGCTGTGTTATTCTTTGTGTTGAAAATTCTATTACATATGAACATTCAATCAAATATAAATACAATTCAGTTCATGTTTCATTCAGTTTATGCAATTTTATTTC